TGTTCTAGATCACCATAATAAAGTATCATAATAAAGAGAGTCATACAAGTTTTTTGGTTTCCCAGTGCATACAAAGGTTATGTTTACACTGTACTGCAGTCTATTAAATATGCAACAGCATTATGTCTAAAAAAACAATGTACATACCTTAATTAAAAATACTTCATTGCTAAAAAATGCTAACCATCACCTGAGCCTTAAGCAAGTCATAATCTTTCTGCAGTGGTAACATCAAGATCATTGATCACAGATCAACATAATATATGTGCTGCCAAAGTGAGCATGATAACAAATATAATAATAATGAAAAAATTTGAAAAATATTGTGAGAATTACAAAATGTGACACAGAGAAACGAAGTGTTGGAAGAATAGCACTGCTTAACACAGAGTTGCCACAAACCTTCAATTTGTAAAAAACACAGTATCTGTGAAGTGCAATAAAACAAGGTATACCTGTATGTATGTAGACAATTATATTGTTTTTATGTAAATAGATCATGGTGAACATACGGTTGTGTCTTGCTTTTCTACTAAAAAAATGTTAGTATCTACAGATCAATTTCATTCTTGTATTATTTTTAACGTTTGTATGATATGGATATATATAGGTATGTACCTTTAGACAGATAAAAGGATAAATGTATCTGTTAAATATTTCTCTTCTTAATGGAAATACAGGATATTTCTAAATTTTTGCTTTCATAAACAACACAGCAATGAGCATCATGGCCATACCTCTTAATATTTGCATATGAATTTCTTTAGAGACCTCTGGAGTCACTGAGTCAATTTATATATATTCTAAAAGTACTGATTAACACTGTAAAACTGCCCTCCAAAAAAGATGCACCATTTACGTTTCCACAACAATGTGTGAAAGTAAGCCTTTTCCGACACCTTCACCAATCTTGGATAATATCAAGCCTTTAAATGTTTATTCTCTGATGGGTGAAAATACATTGTTTTATCTTGCAATAACTGTGTAGACTACATAAAATATGACTCTCGGCTGTATTTGGCTAGGGCATAAAGCAAGTAAAGTAAGGAACTACCCAAATAAGAACCTCTAAACTCTCCATTTTGCCAGTAGCTACACTTCTTGATGTTTCCTCACAACCATGTTTATTTTATGAGTATTTTTAAACAGCTATGCATGTTGGGTAGCTGAGGTAGGAAACAGGGAAAAGGAAGAACAGTAGACAAAAGGAGGAAAGCCAGTAGAGAATTTTAGAGCTGAAAGAGAAAGCAATTGTCTTTTAAGTGAACCCCTTTCTTTTACAGATAAGGAAAGAGACTTAGCTTCTAACTCGTAGGAGACATAGAGTTCTCCAATCTTCTTGCTCCCAGTCTATGGCTCTGTACACTTTAATAGTCTGTCAGAAGGTTAGGTCAAACTGGGAAAACTTAAAAAAGAAGACTGAGAAAGACTATAGGAGAGGGGAAGATAAGGCCATTTTTATTGGCCTCTTAAAAATTGAAAGAGGCTTGATAGTTTCAGTAGCTATTGTAACAATGCCATAAAAACGTCAATGCAAAATAAGGCCTGTATGACATGTTCACACATCAAGTGACTAAGTGGCACAAGCCCTCAGGAATTCATATACTCTTTGCAGGTACTCCCCCTGGTGCTAGAGAAAAGGGGAGGGGGAGTGTTAAATGTTATTAATGACTCTGCAAGTTCTTTATCAGATTGAGAACTGTGATTTGCGTTTATTTATATAATTTCTTTTTATTTTTAGTGTATATATTTCAAGGCTGTTATGCTTCATGGTGATTATTTATCAGTGGATCTCTACCTTTGAAATAAATTAGGACTTACAAGAACTAGGACCTTCTCTACTTCTCTTAGAGACTAAACCTAGGAAGTTTTGGCTAAGGGATGAACTTTTCTGAATGCCTGAGAAAATCTCTTCCAGGTGACTAACATGGAGAACATAATAAGAACCGACTCTCAGCCTGTCTGACTAGACATCACGTACAAATGTGATTTGAAGTTAGGAAGCTGACACTACAGTCAGGAAAGGT